ACCGGTCCAAGCGAACTTCTCTTTGGTAAATTTCACAAACCACCCTGTGGACTGTGGAGAGGTTCGCAGGAACTTTCCTAAATTCTGTAAATTTCATAAAACACCCTTAAAAAGTTTGAATTCTGTTGTTTATTTCTTAAAAATGGTAGATTACACAATTTAGTCTTATTCCTTCAGTTTCTCAAAATTCAAGGAGGTTCATAAAGCTTCTCAAGTTCCGGAGAGTTTTGTGGAATTTACAAATATCAGGAAGATTTTATGTAAGTTTCCAAAAGTTAAAGGGGTTTCTTGAAATTTACTCCTTTCTTTCCTTTTGCTTGACTTTTTCCCTTTTTATTTTCTTCTGCCATTTAATTTAGTCCAATTTATTCCGCTATTTTGACTCGAGCCCCATCCTTCGGCCCTCTAGATTTCCTGCTCCTCTTCCGCGGTGATCCGACCGCCGTTCGAGTCCGGTTACCGCGCTGAGCGGTCGGAAAACCGCCCATTTCACTCCCATTGCAGCTCTCATCTTCACTCCGAAGGACCTTGCTCTCTTGAAATCTCTCTTTCCTTTTTTGATTTCCCCCTATATTTTTGTGAGATCTATTAAAGGCGATAAGTAGGGCTAGGGTTTTGGATGAGAATCCTGGAAGAGATCTGCGATCGATGTCGATGAGGATTGGTCTTAGTCTTGAGAGATCGATGCGGTCGGCGCTGAGGAGAGGTTTTCAGATGGAATGGCTGATTTTGTAGGAAAAGGGAGCAGCGATCGGGACTTTGAAAAGGTACTGGAGATCTCTTCTTCATTGATTTCTGGATTTTATTTATTTATTATTCTTAGGGGGTTTGGAGTTGAAAACTTATGTTCATATGTAAATTTGATTAACACAAGCAACAACTGATAACTTTAGAGTCATCCCTAGGTGCATTGTAAAGTAAAAGTTTCCTTTTTATTCGGTTTTTCATAGTAAATGTAAAAGTTGGGGTTATTAATTGGTGATTCAAGGGAGGATTGCGCTTGAGATAGCGAACACTACAGCGATCAGCAAGATGATAGTTGAAACTGAACTTGGTTATGACCGATAAGCAAGCCAAATGAGCGGAGACTTAGGTTGGTAATGTTTGTTCAAATGCTTAAATGATTCTGAAATTGCCCAGGCTCGGTTAGGTCATTCAGCTTTGCCAATATTGGGCTTTAATGTTTATCCTTTTTCAGTGTTTGATTCAAGGAGGGTTTCATTTGGTAGCCGATAACCAGTGTAAAGTATAGTTGAATTTATATCAGCATGAACCTTAAAGAATATGAATTGACTGGAAGAGTAGGGTTCATGTTTTCGATCTCGGAAATTTGGTATAAAGGCTTCATTGTTGTTTAGTTAGGTTATGGAGCAAACTTGACTCGGCTCAACCTTCTCAAAACCATTCATAACCCTTGAGTCCTTGACAAATACTAGTGTGAATGCATTTCAAGAAACATGTTAATATTGTATTATCATCAACCATTTGAGAGTTTTAAGATTGACTAGTAAAATTAATGACATCATGTAGTACTCTTAGTATGCATGCTAAATTTTTATTTTCAAAATTTCCCTCAACCTAACAACAATTAATAACTATGTCAATCAACAATTAATAACTTTGTCAATCTGAAGCATAAAAATGATGCTATTATGTATTAATGAGTACATCTATTTCTATTAGCTAACAATGTTCTACTTGCTATTCCATATACTAAATATTTCATAAGGCATATCTTCTAATTCTCATCCACTAAGTATTGAAAATACCATTGCCAATAATAGTGCTACAAGAACATTTTTGATTGAGATTTGAGTGTAGTGAAAACAGTAAATCTGTTTGTCTCTTACCATGTTTTTGAGGTGAAAATGCGAATCAAGGCTACAAGCGCCAAAAAGGCGATCGACTGAGTGAAGCAAAGTGATAATATTAAAAAAATTTAAACTTACGAATAATGCACAATTACATACAATATCAGTAAATTGTAATAAAAATAGATTAATTGCAGTCAATCATAAATTGTTGTAACTAATAAGAAATATATTGTCTAAATAAAGTATTGACCAGCAACAAAATACTAACTACTAACTATTAACATACATAATTTAAGTGATATGTACCATGTGATGCATTTTCAAAATGATAGACACATTATTGAAAAAATTAACCACAAAAGTAGAAATAAAGAAAATTAAAAAAGTGAAACCGTCAACTTTCGTTTGGTGATTGTTAGTGGTCATTATTTAGTGCAAGGAGCCTAGGGTATTTAAAGGTGGCCACCAAAGACAAGGAATGATGAGAAAGTGAGAGAGTTGAAGAGCCATAAGTAGTCCTTAATGAGTCATATGTGGCTATTGGCTACATTGACTTGATATATTACCTGAAATTGCATGTTAGCATCGAGCTTCTTGTTGGTGTACACTTGAAGTAAAGTAGTATAGAAAATAGAAGTTTGATAAGCCTCCTCAAAACTCAAAATAGAGGCGAGGTGTATGGCTTGCCTCACATGCCTCAAGCGAGCGCCTGGGTTCCTTTGGCATAGCACTCACCTTCGTAACTTTCAATGTTGTAGTTAATCACTAAGGTTGAGGTACAAAATTGCCTCGCTTGAGCACCTGGGATACTAAGGTGTGGCGCTTTTAGAGTAGCGTGGTTAGGTGACAATTATCACTAGAGTTAGTTGTGACAATGAAGGTCACTCAAAGGTCGAATCAAAAGTTAAAACTATTTGAATTTCAATCAACAATAGCATCCAAGAACTAATGAGTTAACATTGAAAATTTGAATTGATCTTGGCCAAACTTGACCAGTTAAGATTACACTAAAATCAATTTGAAAAACATGAGCCGAAATTGAGCCTTTGTCGTGAGATTGAATATAATCAAATATAGTTTGAGAAGAATGGAGCATAGCAATAATCGAGTTCTTTAATTAATTTTATCAATATGTATGAGAATGCACCCATACGAACTTTACCAAGCTTGTGCTAAGCTTCCAGCTCCTAGCGCTTATTGATAGCTCTGTACATTGATACTAGGACATACAACTAAGAAACCTTGTGATCTATCTTAAGTTGACTACACCAGGATAATGAGAGGAAACCACTAAACACGATTAATGCAAAGAATTAGAACATGTCAACAAACTTAACACTAATTGTCTTGCAAGTTTCTTTATACCATTCAAATAAACTTGAAGAGAAACTAAACAAAAGTACATGAAAAAATATAAGCCATATACGTTCTCATGTGTTTCCTAGAGATATCTAATCGTGTTCTTTAATTAATTTTATCAAGATTAGAGTTCGTATGGGAATGCACCCCATACGAACTTTACCACGCTTGTGCTAAGCTTCCAGCTCCTAGCGCTTATTGATAGCTCTATACATTGATACTAGGACATACAACTAATAAATCTTGTGATCTATCCTAACTTGACTACACCATGATGATGAGAGAAAACCACTAAACACGACTAATGCAAAGAATTAGGACATGTCAACAAACTTTACGCTAATTGTCTTGCAAGTTTCTTTATAACGTTCAAATATGCTTGAAGAGAAATTGAACAAAAGTACATGAAAAAATATAAGCCATATACATCCTCATGTGTTTCCTAGAGATACCTAATTCCAAGATGGGTTCCTATGTAACTCATCCAATAACCACAGAGAAAAATAAATTTTTGTTTGGATATTCATGCGCGAATATAGTCCCACATCAGAAAAGTTAAAAAAGAATGACGAGTTTAAATCGAAATTGGGTCCAATACCAAATAACTTAAGTTTTTGGGTTATGTTGGTTTCTATTTTCTATTTAAGGCCCATTGACTCCCAGTTGGCCTAATTGCTCCCTAACAAGTGATATCAGAGTTAAAATTATGACTCAAGAAAGATGTAAAGTCAAATGTGGTTGGCATGCTGTGTTGCACTATTACTACCGGTGTAGACTAAGACTAGTTAGCCCAAAAGTGGTTGAAGATCCTTTGAATGTTTGTAGTCATGTTCTGCCACATAATTACTATTTAGACCCAAAGTCAGATTAAACCATGAACATATAATGCCTGAGATTGCTTGTAGGAGTGATAGTGAACATGTTAGCTCACTGATGGTGGAAGATCCTGCGAATATTGAGTAGCATGCTGTCGCTACATAGTAGTCGGTACAGATCAAGTCAGAGAAGGGTCCATTCTCGTGATTTATTGAACTATGCTCACAAATTAAGAGGAGATTATTAGGGTGTTTATGCGTGAGAATAGTCCCACATAGGAAAAAAAAAGAAATAGTGATGAGTTTAAGTTGGAGTTGCGGTTAATATCTAATAGTACAAGTTTCGGGTTATTTTAGGTTCTTGGCCTTTATTTAAGGCCACTGACTCCCGATGAGCTCGATATCTCCCCAACAATTTGTAATGTAGATTTATCTTTAGATTTAAGGCAGAGTAAATTAGGTAATTGCTCCTATATATATATGAGACTCGCACAGACTAATTAAATGCTAGGTTTTGAGTCTTGACTAGCAAATTTTACTTCTTAATTTTCTACCTTAATTTATTTATTGCTACTTCATCTGTTGCATAGTACTGAATATTGATTATATGTTAATTATATATATGGCCTTGAAAGTACTAAACTCTTAAAGCCAAAATGTTGCTTGTTTGCTTCCATCCATTTGCTTACTTTGTTTTATTAAAGATGAGTATCAAGTTGTTATTCATGTTCTTCTTCTTGCTTTTCTTTTTCTGGAGGCACTTGTTGCTTTGAAGAAAGGTGCTCAATTGCTCAAGTATGGTCGTAAAGGAAAGCCAAAGTTCTGTCCATTTAGAATATCTAATGTAAGTTCTTTCACACACTGTTTCTTGATGGAAGTAGCTCATAATGGAATAATGTATTACTGATTCTCATGCTTAGCTATTTGTAGCTATTTGGTTAAAACTTTGAATTGAAATGAACTTACACTAGGTAGATCAATCTGCTTAGGAAGAATAACCAGAGAAGACGTCACACAAAACAGAAAGGACAAGTTCTTATGTTAGTCGTATCTTCCAGCAACGCTCATTAAGTAATGCTTGTCTTTGGTAGTTTGTTGAGGAAACTTGATTAGTTACAATCTCCTTGAAAGTAAATGTCTCAGCAGGCTTTTAGATGCGGAAGAAGAGAAATGAAAAGGATCAGAAATATGGCGGACGACAATATGTTCGCATTTGTAGAGAAGGATTCCCCCCCCCCTTTGGTTAACGTAGTCATTCTCATATCTTTCGTTCAATATATGTCTTGCATCCAGTTAGAAGTACCCCAGTGATGTATAAAAGACGCGTCAAGAATTGAGGTTTATTACCAAGTTGGATATAGATTGATATCCTCACATCTCATATATTCACGTTTCGTATGTGATTAGAAGTTGAAGCTTAATGGACTAACATTTTTGGGTCTAAAGTGGAGTCTATTATTAATTCTCATAGTCATAGGTCAAGCTTCTTCCAAGATATGGCATATTAGGGTTGATCCATAAAAGGTTAAGCATAGAGTGGGTAGTTTTGCACTGTTACAAATAACCGAGACCCGATCCAACCTGACCTGGCCCTTAGCCTGTACCGTAATAGTTTTCTAACTTAGTAGTCTATTACCTGATATGTCTTTGTTGCTTCTTCGTTGGCTCTGAGTCAAAATATATGGGTTTTACTCCATATGTGGTTCTAAAAGTAAGATGAAATTGATTATATAAGGGTAAGGCATTTTTAATAGGTTATGATGATATGTCACACATATATGGGTTTTACTCCATATGTGGTTCTAAAAGTAAGAAATTGATTATATAAGGGTAAAGCTTTTTTAATAGGTTATGATGATATGCTGCAACTTATACCTTCGCTGAAATTCGACGAAAAACTAGAAAATTGAAGCTTGTAGGCATTCTCTAACTATACTTATGACCTAGAAAGTGGGGTTAGGACATAGATAGCACCTGGGTCCATTATCTTTTTTCTAAAGGGCTTGCTATTGATCAATGTCTTAGAGGCTAAGAGTATGGTGCAGTAAGAATTCTGAGATACAAAATGGCAGCTTGTTTTATGTAATTTTATTTGGGATATTATATGAGGCTAATTATTTAGGGTATAATATCACGCCTTTGGCCCGCAAGATTGTTCGCGCAATGTGAGCCCTGAGACTCATTAAGTGCAGCACTATTACTTCTCGGGAGGTCATCTATCCTAGTACCTTTCTCACTCAAGCACGCTCAACTGCGGAGTTGTTTTGTAAATCCACTGTCAAAAATAGCTAGCCATTGGTACACTTGAATTCCATGCTTCATCTTAGAAGCCCATTGATATCTCATTAAGTACTTGATGTGGGGGCAAAAGGTTAGGGTATCACAGTCACCCCCACTTTAAATATGCGATGTACTCGTCGCAACATGGTAGCATACACCTGTCTAACCTAGGATCACCATGAGGCACTGTGGATCCTAGATATGACTCTTATGAGTTCTAGAGGCCGCCTTGTAGCACTTAGTCTTTTTATAGTACTTAGTTTCATACTTCTAGCTGGCTAACCGCGCTGACACCATTGTGTCATTCTTGGGCCCCAAAGCCCGTTGGTGCGTTGGTGCAATGTAAGCCCTAAAACCCTCCTAGGTGCAACACCATAACTTCCCAGGAAGTCACCCATCCTAGTACTACTATCGCACAAACACGCCTATTTGTTGAGTTGTTTGTTTGGAAATCCTTTGCCAAAAGTGGCTAGCCATTGTTACTCTTGAATCCCATGCTTCATCTTAGAGAGCCATTGAAATATGATGTGGGGCTGAAGGTTGGGGTATCACGTATTGTCCCTCATATGGCAGACTCAACTTATTTTCTTCAATCAAATTTAGTTGTAGGCGTTTAAAATATGCTGCACAAAAAAATTCAGCATGGTCTCAGACTACTCAGGAAATGTTGATAGAGGGTGGTGAGCAGTACAATTTCACCATACAAATTTTGCACCAATATCTAGAGATAGTATGCTAGTTTGCTGTTATTTTCATTGCAAATGGGATGGTTACTGATAGATAAGAGGTGGCAAAATGTAAGTAATCTACTAGAAATATTCTGTGGAACTTAGACGCATATTGGTTAGCCTGATGCTGATGTTGACTAGGGAAATGGATGTTGTCGTTGAACACCCCACCCCTTCTTTTTTTTAATGTATCCATTCATATGCACAGTCAGCACAGTTACCGCATGATTCTATGAAAACCCATCACAAGAAATTGATAAGGAGATTTAATGTTGTCTTTTTGTTATATCTATGCTTTGCAGGATGAGTCACTGCTAATCTGGTTATCCAGTGGCGGAGAAAAAAGTTTGAAGTTAGCTTCTGTATCAAAAATTATTCCAGGTCAAAGAACTGTGAGTCCGTTTCTGTGACTGCTTGTTTGTTTGTCTTTTTTGAAGCCTTAAATTCTGCTAATTGATGATAATTTAATAGTATTTTGGTTTGGTAATCTTGGGATCATCAATTTTCATATTTATTTATTCAACAGCCTGTTTTTCAACGACATTTGCGTCCTGAAAAGGAGTACTTGTCCTTTTCTCTTATATACAACAACGGGAAGCGGTCTCTTGATCTGGTAAATATACCTGGTGTGGGTCTTGTTGCTATTTATAGTTTTGACTCTATGTATTTTGATTCTCATTTTATGTCTATTAGATATGCAAGGATAAAGTTGAGGCAGAAGTGTGGTTTGCAGGCCTCAAGGCGTTGATATCTTCATTGCAGGACAGTCGGTCAAAAATTGATGGATGGGCTGATGGGCTTAGTTTTGACGTAATGATTTATCTCCGTTTGGCCACATTGTTTGATCATCTTTGTAAAACTTCTGGATAAAATGAATAGTGATACTCGTGTAATATGGTTATCCAGAAGTTTTGAAGTTTCACACTTGAATTTTTGCATTAATGTTACTATTTTGAGTTAATTTTCTTCTGCTTTCAAACATATTATTTCTCCATTAATAACGATGTAGGGTCTTTAGGGATATTTGGGTAATACTGTGATGTTTGATATCATCCAGTACCAATTTGACTTACTACCTCATTAAACCGGAGTTATCTTCATGACTTAGGTTTGAGCTCACAATGATGCAATAATTTGACCTACTCCACACGTTAGTTGAATTGTGAGACGAACATCTCACATCTGAGCTTAAATAAAATTTTGAATGGACTTCTATGAGCAACGGTAAGGAGAGTCCTAGATGGAACTTAGTAACAAGTGGCTCTTTAATGAGACTAACATGAATGCGTCATTGAAATGTACAGTTTTCAAGTTACATAAACTTCAGTGTAAACTCATTTCTGAGCATCGAACTAGAAGCTGGAGTAAACGCACAAAGCACCTTGAAAGCATTAAACATGCTCTCAACGTTATAATGGGAAGAAATATTTTCAATTTGATTGTGTGGCCTTTTTTTTTTATTTCACTTAACTCATTTTACGGGAAGAAAATGTGCTCGCTCTTTTTCTGTTTTTTCAGTTCAACAGAGACTGAGAAAGTGAGAAGAAATGGGCAACACAGTGATTACAACGAGACTGATAAGATGTTTCATATATCAGTTTTTGGTCTAAAATCATCCTATCATTTGACATATAGCAGTTTACTTTCAGTATTCTTTCTGACGAGTTTCTATTGGCATCAGTTTTCCATTATGTGCTTTTATTAATTTCCACGATTATTGGTATACTGATCTAGTGATTCATTAACATTGTTTCAGGATGCAAAGGACTTGATCTCCAATAGTGCAAGTGACAGCTCCATCAGCACCATCCTGGATATTAGTTCTCCAGACAGTAATTTGCACACGAGTACACAATCTGTAATTTCTTTAGAAAACTTGACACCTTTAGAAAGATCAGATGTAACAAATATGCACGTGAAAGGATCTTCCTCAGATGTTTTTAGGGTCAGTGTCTCTAGTGCACCCAGCACCTCCAGTCATGGTTCTGCACAAGATGACTATGATACTTTGGGTGATGTGTACATTTGGGGCGAGGTCATACGTGACACTTCTTCAAAGGGTGTCAATAGTAGAAACATAAGTCATTTCAGTTCAAGAACTGATGTTCTTTTACCAAAACCTTTGGAATCCAATTTAGTTTTGGATGCCTTCCATGTGGCCTGTGGTGTCAAGCATGCTGCTCTAGTTACGAGACAAGGTGAGTTATTTACATGGGGTGAAGAATCTGGAGGCCGCCTTGGACATGGAGTTGAAGCAGATGTAATTCACCCTCGCTTTGTTGAATCTCTAGCAGCCTGTAATGCTGATTTTGTTGCTTGTGGTGAGTTCCATACTTGTGCTATATCTTCAGCTGGTGACTTGTATACTTGGGGAGATGGCACTCATAATGTGGGGCTTCTTGGACATGGTACTGATGTCAGTCACTGGATACCAAAGAGGGTTTCAGGACCCTTAGAGGGTCTGCAAGTTGCTTATGTTAGTTGTGGAACTTGGCATACTGCCTTGATAACTTCCATGGGGCAACTATTCACATTTGGTGATGGAACTTTCGGTGTCTTAGGCCATGGAAATAGAGAAAGTGTTTCATATCCGAGGGAAGTGGAATCATTGATGGGGCTGAAAACAATTGCTGTTGCATGTGGAGTGTGGCATACTGTCGCTGTGGTAGAAGTTATAGTCACTCAGTCTAGTGCCAGTGTATCATCTGGTAAGTTGTTCACTTGGGGTGATGGAGACAAGTATCGCCTTGGGCACGGTGATAAAGAACCACGACTTAAGCCCACTTGTGTGCCTTCTCTGATTGATTACAATTTTCACAAGCTAGCATGTGGTCATAGTCTTACAATTGGATTGACAACTTCAGGAAAGGTTATTACAATGGGAAGTACAGTTTATGGTCAACTTGGCAATCCCCATTCTGATGGAAAGCTTCCATGCTTGGTTGAAGAAAAACTTTCTAGTGAATCTGTTGCGGAGGTTGCTTGTGGTTCATACCATGTCGCAGTACTGACATCGCGGAGTGAGGTCTACACTTGGGGAAAGGGTGCCAATGGAAGGTTAGGCCATGGAGATGTAGAAGATCGGAAAACACCTACACTTATTGAAGCTTTGAAGGATAGACCTGTCAAACGTATTGCCTGTGGCTCAAACTTCACTGCTGCAATATGCCATCATAAGTGGGTAACTGGTGCGGAGCAGTCTCAATGTGCAGCATGTAGACAACCATTTGGATTTACTCGAAAGAGGCACAATTGTTACAATTGTGGACTTGTGCATTGCCATTCATGCAGTTCAAGGAAGGCCTTAAGAGCAGCATTGGCTCCTAATCCTGGAAAACCTTATAGAGTATGTGATTCTTGTTATGTTAAATTGAACAAAGTGCTTGAACTTGGTGGGAGTAATAACAGAAGAAATGCTAATCCACGTCTTTCTGGTGAAAGCAAAGAAAAATTTGAAAAAACAGACGTAAAGTTGTCGAAGGCTGTCACACCTAGCAATATGGATTTGATTAAGAATCTGGATATTAAGGCTGCCAAATATGGAAGGAAAACGGATGCATTATCTTTGATTCGAACCCCTCAAAGTTCCTCATTGTTGCAGCTAAAAGACATTGCTTTTGCTAGTAGAGATCTGCATCGAGGTATCCCGAGACCAGTTCGGACATCAGCACAATCTGTGAACTCTTCAAGAGCTGTTTCTCCTTTCTCTAGAAAGTCTAGTCCTCCCCGCTCCGCGACGCCGGTCCCTACAACTTCTGGGCTGTCCTTCTCCAAAAACATTTCTGATAGTCTAAAGAAAACAAATGAGCTCTTGAATCAAGAAGTTCAAAAGTTACGAGCTCAGGTATGGTAGACATATGTTTTCATATTGCACTATCTTTTATTGTGACATTGAGTCCCTTCAGCTTATGGAACCCATTTATGTTGTCACGTCCTGGATTAGGTTGAGACTCTGAGGCAGCGCTGTGAACTTCAAGAATTTGAGTTGCAGAAATCTGCAAGAAAAGCTCAAGAAGCCATGGCATTGGCTGCAGAGGAATCCGCGAAATCCAAAGCAGCAAAAGAAGTTATAAAATCTCTTACTGCACAGGTAACTTTTGTGCTTATCCTTCTTCATTATACTAATATTTCTCATTCTGTCATGATGTTTAATCAAATATTAAAGATATGTTTTGCTATTATCATTTGCCAATTTAAATAAATCACCTGATAACTCCGAGTGTTATATTAGTTTTTATAGGAGTTCCATAGATTAGCAAGAGTGATGCAATAGTTTAGTTGTGCTCTCATATAGCCTTTTTTCCGCAACTTTCATCTACATGGCTTTACCTTCCCCTTCTGTTTCCGAACTTTAATGAATGCTATTCTTTGTCCATGGTAGTTTTTCCCCATCTGGGGACTTCGTAAATGTGTCAATACCATCACAATTATCTTGCAATTGCAATATTCTCAACCTTATGCTGCAATGTTTTATGTCAATCTTTACAATTATATTTCTTTTTTACATCGCGCGTTTTGTGTCCATATTCCATGGCAATCATTTTTCACCATCATTTTTGAGCTTTGATTCTTCTCGCTTGGTATTCTTTAAGGTTACTTTATGTTCACTCTAGTCTGCTATCCATCTTGTGTCATAGGAGTACAAGCTTGACTAATGATTTTTCATGAATGTAAATCCTCCCCTTTTCCCTTCAATTCAGCAATACATATTTTCTGTCATGGTTTTATAGTTCTTATAATCTCTTTTATTTTCATGTTGCCTTATAATACACAATATTCTTTGGTGCCCATGATATAGCTCAAAGATATGGCAGAGAGGCTGCCCCCTGGTGTCTATGAAAATGAAGATATAAGGCCAGTTTACTTGCCAACTGGCAATGACCCACACTTCGACAATCTCTCAAGTTTAAATGGAATTCGCCAGCCAAACAGTGAAAGCAATGAGCTGAACCTTCCATCAACTACAACCATCAATTCCAACCACATAAATGGGACTTCCACACCAAATTTTGCATCAGCTGATACTCTTGAACCCAATAAATCAAATACAAGATTCCCAAACGATGGGGTACTTGGTTCCCATATGAAGGAAGAGCGATCAAGAGAGCGTGACAATAATGGAGATGTGAGTGCAGCTAGTGTTAAAACAGAGAGCCCTGACAGCAGAAGGTCTGAACATATTCGAAATGGTGATACAGGTTTGATGTCCAGAATCCCCAATTTGGGTAGCAATCAAGTAGAGGCAGAATGGATTGAGCAGTATGAACCTGGCGTGTATATAACCCTCATGGCCCTTCGTGATGGAACTAGAGACCTGAAAAGGGTACGGTTCAGGTAAATGATAAATAACTAATCCTGATGCCTATATTGTGATATCTTTTTCATGCATTCTTTCTCCTGCAGCTCATCTGGTTCAGTATTAGATTCAACCTGCATTTAAAGCGTTGTCACTTATATTCTGTTGAAAAATATGTTCATGAATACCTCGATTAGATCTTTCGTTATTTGCTTTGCCTATCAATGCTTGCATGTCCACCTTCTTGTAAATTCTCTCCCCCATCTCTTACAGTAGCTGTCCGTAACAATGCCTTCCCTTCCTGCAGTTTGATAACTTTGGATACGATTTGGAAAACCTTGAATTTGTGATCTCAGTAGCTCATTTATGGAAAATCCTGTCTTTTATGGACTACAGTTCCTTAGCAAACAATGTCGTATGATTTGTTGCATACTGTTAATTGTTAGTTTTTTGGGGTAAATTTCAGAAAACCCCCCTAACTTTGGGCATTCTCTGC